TTCCCATCAATCGATGATGCCACCCCTCAAACAGGGAAGCTCGGGGAGCCACCGAAGCCGGCGATCTCCATGACAGCGCGATCGGCACTGCACCGTACGGCAGGCTCGACGGGTCCCTTGTAAGCTGCCGAGCCTCGAGGGTGGGCAACAGCATGGAGGAGCGGCAACGGGGGTCGGCAACGCGTCTCGGCGACGCCGTTCGTGGGCACCAGCCTCGTAGCGCACGGCGGTGCCGTCAGAGAGATCTTCGTTTAGAATTGCCTTGGAAGGACAAAGCGGTGCCGATGAAAACCCTTTCATGCAATTGCCTTCGGTGGACCAGTCGAAGGCGGTTGTGTGAGCAAGGGTGCCACAAACCGATGCCGCTGAGATCCTTTGCTTTGTAGCGCTGTCGTCGAAGGCGAGCAGCGACGTCAAAATTCCTTGGTTAGAGTTGCACTCGAAGGACAAAGCGGAGCTCATGAAAACCCCATGCATGCGATTGCCTTCGATGGACCCATTGAAGGCACTTGTGAGCAAGCGTGCCACAAAGCGGTGGTGCGGAGATCCTTTGTCCAGAATTGTCCTCCGAGGAGAAAACGGCACCGCTGAAATCGTTTGCTTAGAATTGCCTGTGAAGGACAAGGCGGTGCCGCGTGGTCCGGAAGGCCGACTGACGAGGGCGTCGACATTGGCTGAGCCCATGGGCCTGCGCAGCTCCAGAAACTCGCAACGCGGGTGGCGCTCTCGAGCGCTGGAAGGAATCACGGCAACCAAATCCGTGTCATGCACCTACATGGCAACCGCATTTTTCCGCTGGTGCAGATGGCCGACCGCTGACAGCGGCGTGACTGGCTTAATCCATCGGCGTCCGTGGCCTTAGAAAATTCGCAACGTGGGTGGCACTCTAGAGTGCTGGAAGGATTCCCGGCAACCAAAGTCGTATCACGCACCCACAGGACTGCATGCTCCCCCGCGGACCAGTTGAAGTCGCCTAAACAAGCCAAGACGCAAAGAGAGCGCGGGTCGAGGGACAAGGAGCCCGACGCTCTGCTGCGCCTCCCTTGGCAGCCAAGGCGCGCGGCTGCCGCTGGAGGCGCGCTGCGTGCCTGGGAGTCTGGGACCCCTTCGACTTCATGTCCGTAGTCTGCTTCGGTTCATGGTGCCCGCTGCCGCGACCACCCACGACCGTGCCGATTCGATATCTCTTCGATATCGATACATCTTTTCGATATTTCCGACTCGACACCGCCTTTCTTGGTGTGGAAGGATTCCGCAGCCCCACAGCAGCGCCGAGGCTTTGGCAACTGAGCAGCGACCTTGCAAAGGGCATCTTCTCCGAAGCCTCATTGTTGGAATGGTGCAAACACAGTGCTGTGCAATGACAGGCGAACGTTTGCTTCCAAGCATTGCATCTACAATTGACCTTAGATGCAATGCTTGCTTTGGAACGGGACTGCGACTCACCATTCAGGCCACTGCTGCAGCGGAGCCGGCACCAACAAGTGATGACATTGCTTTTGTTTCGGGAATTCCCACAAGATTGCCAACGTTCCCAGTATGCGAGCTGGAAGAAAAATAACGGTGGGAAGAAAATAATGGAGAGACAGTTCTGGATGCGAACGGAACTGCGGTGATGCCAAGCTGGCCAAGGGGGCCTGCCCAGTCTGATGAAACCAATTGTCGAAATACAGACAGGTCCGAAGTCGAAGTTGCCCTGTACTGGATGGGCTTGACACGTGCACTGGCGGCGCCCAGAGCCCAAAGGTACTGTGGCGAATGCAACGAAGGGGGAACTGACAAAGGGACTGACCTTCACACTGGAAAACAGGGGGTTTTCTCCTCGAAATTTTAGGATGAGGTAAGCCACAGACGCCATGGCGGTGTGTGCAGCGGCGATGACGAGGACGAGGGCCTGCAGCTCGTGTTCAAGACCTGAAACGGCACAAAATCCTTTCACGCGAATCAGCGGGAAACGAGTATTGAAACATACACCGGAGCTATACAAGAGAACAGAGGTGGGAATATTCCAAAAAGGAAAAGCGCCCTCTCAGAGCAATTGCATCGAAAGAAGTGAAGCAAGAACGACAAAAACAAACCCCGCAGAAGGCAAGTAGGCATTATAGCAGACAGATAAGAAATACAGTAAAAAAAGACCAAAAAAGAAATAAAACAAGAACCAAGAGGCGCAATCTCCAGCCATTCGCGGGAACTGTCAGGCCAGACTTCACACACGCATTCACACCCATCCGTCCTGGCTGCGGTTGTCAAGTGTTCGACATATCTTCGCCCAAGCGCCTTCAAATCAACAAACACCGCACTTTTCCCGGTCCAGCCAGCAGGGACCGTGCGCAACGCCCATCTCCCATCCACGATGCGGCGAAGCCGCACGCCGACTGGGGCACCCGCCATTCTGGCCTGCCCGTCCGCCAGAAACGAGTACGCCAACCCGCACATCCAAGGGCTTTGTTGCAGTCAAACAGTGAAGTAATGCTGCGGCGTTGAAGGAATGAAGCAGTGCTGGTGGTGAAGCACCGAAGCAACGAAGCGCTGATGTGCTGCGGCACTTGACTCGATTCTTGCATTGTTGCAAACGGAGCGCGAGGTTCGCCAATCAATTCGAAAGTAAAGACATTCACAGTGTAGGGCCAAGACATGCAAGAGGCACATAACCCAACAGGGTTGCGAGTTTCGTCTCCAGATTCCGTATTCTTAATACCATTCAATAAACAATGAATGCGGTACAATATCTTAAAGCAACAAAAGGGTTTCCGCAAGGGAACGATTCGCAGACATTCATGAGGTGATGACGCCAAACTTTGCGGCGGCATGCAGGAGCTGGCCGCGACGGAATGGTTGGTCGGCTGCAGCATCTGAAAGAACAGAAAGTACTGCAGTACACAAGGACCGTTGCACAGGATGTACAGCCAATACAGCGGGGGAGGAAGTAAAGGAAGTGAACGCAGTGCAGTAGTAGGGGATGTCACCTTTTGAGAGGACTCCTATCCTTGACCAGTCTCCAGAGTAGGCAGCATCTGTCAGCCCAAGTAGGCCCTTCAACAGCACAACGCATCAACCATCAGTCGGACAGTGTCAGCGCAGTTGTGTGCACAATGTACATTTCTTGTACATCAAGTCCGTGGACTATCGTTTGTACAGCGTACAATACACTATACAATGTATGATATAGTGTACAATGAACTGGGCAATAATATATTGTGCACGCAGACTGAGTGTATCATGCGTTCAGATGCACATTTGCAAGCATGCACCTGTGCATGGGACAACAGTGAATGGACACTTAAATCATTTGAATGTTGAACTACTTGACTATAGAATGAATAGATTGGGTGTACCATTAGGGGTCGGTTCAGGTGGGCATTGCTCTCAACCGTCTTGGGCTTGCGCGAACCGTTGTCGATAAATGCAGTAGTTGTGAACTTGCAATAAATAAACAAAAGTGAACGAGCGAACGTGAGTAAGTGAATTGGCTCAATGCACAATGGCATTGTTTTGTCTGGAAATGGCAGGCGCAATCCAAGCGGATTTCCACAGCCCTGACAAGTCACCTCTCAGCGCAGATGTGCCCGTTGCATGCACTCACCACAAATGCAATGCCCTGGTACAGTCCGTTGCTCGTGAAGCTGCAACAAACCAACGTCAATGGCAAATGTTCTGGCCTTCGACACTTGTACGGAAAAGAAGGCCAGAACTTTCAAATGTGTTGTTACACTCTGGAGTCCCCAAAATGTATCTGGGCTTGTTGCATTGGAGTCAGTCAGCTGCCCAGGGCTGCTGTCAGTTGTGGATGGTCACATCTTCCTGGTTCTGCCCAACATTACGGCCACTGACAACAGTCCTTGATTATTCCGAGTGCAACATTTTGCAGGGAAAAGGAGGTCAGGGCGAGCCGTGCCCATCACAGTATGCAGATACACTGTTTGACACATGGATGAGCAGAAGAGGTGGAGTTTTGACACAACTTTATGTTGCTCTGAGTGGAATGCAAGGCATATCTCTTTCCATCATTGCTGCAGCAGCCCTTAGCTGGACACTCTGATGTAAATTGCGACCCTCACATACCAACAGCCGTTCAGGTTGGGGATGCAATGCAAATGCAATGCCCATTTTTCACTTCAGCAAGTCTGTAACAGTTGCCGCGAAGTCTCTTGGCTTGCCCAGTGCTGTTGCCAAAGTGAGTCAAAGAAAACATGCCCCAGAGAGTGTGCTGCATACCAAGGACAATGACCTGTACCTCAACACTGTAGAGTAAGTTGCTTCTTGCCTTGCTCAAACACCATATCAGGAACATGTTTGCCTGATGGGCTATGCTACACCTTCGATGCAGGCCTGACTGACACAATTGCACCACTGCCTGAAGAGGCAAATACGATCGAAGCACACTTGAGCTAATGGCTTTTTTTGTCGACAGCTTGTTTTTGCCAAGTATGGTGTGCTGATGATTTTCGAATTCATCGTTTCTTTCTGCCCCTCGCAAGGAACACATGGCAAGCCATGCTCAGGCACAGGTTCATTTGCAACATACTCGCCACCCTTTACCACATTGTGACCAAGCTTTATTGGTGGTTTCCCAGTGAACGAGTCTGCTCAACATCGAACACATCGAACGGGAAAACACAGACCTGCCACCACACCATCCTATCCGATCTGCATTGTTAACATACTGCCCTTTCAGTGTAATCCAGATTCGTATCTAACGCCAGCTGCAGCTGAAAGAGGCAACAGCCACGTGTCTCCAGGCAAGCCTTTAACGACAAATGAGGACATCTATATAATGTTTCATGGAAATAGCGCTCGTCATGATATTGGTCAGGGAGAGGGGTGCCAACTACAGTATTCATTTCATTGTCACACAGAATATTTGACAGCCAAAGTTATGACGTGGGGGCTGGGCGTTCTTTTGCCAAACAGTGTGAGCTATTTGTGGACTTCTGGACAAGTCGATGTTGACTTACGATCAGAGCTCAGTAGAAATACATGCCAGTGCCAGTGTGTGGATTTCACACCTCTGCAAAGCATTCATTCAACAAACGGGGAAACAGGCGTGTGCGCACTAACACTGGTACTTGCCTACGCACTGCATTGATCTGCTTTTGAAAGAGGCCTTCGGGGACCGGCTCACTGTCCTTCTTTCGCGAAGCTCCACAGATGCAGGTGTCCTGTGCAATGGATGCACCAACAGTGGCTGTAGCTAACCAGTTGCAGCAATGGCAATCAGACGACCATGATTGTTAGCCCTCAATGCATGCCTTGCTGTCATTCGTGCTGCTCTGTGCTGCCTGCAATTCTGTTGCGCTGGGGGACCTCTGCATCGTTGTTCAGGGCATGGTGAAGAGTGTTGCAGTGCTTTGCTGAGGAGGGGTCTCTCGTTACAAGGTATATCCCCTCTCGTTTTAACCAACAGTTTTCCACTTCAAGGAATCACGGAATCTCCGGTGAAGGCGGTGATGCAGCCAATCAAACAGTTTGCCAATGCCAAGCGAGGAATTAGGCATTGACCAGCCCCTGCTTCCGAACAAAACCACCGTCGAAGAATGGGCGCCATGATTCATTTTTGGATTCATTTACGCCTGCCACCATCTGCAAGGTGCAAGGGTTGCGCTTTCCCTTTCGAATGCAAACCTGAACCAAGGAATTTAGCCCGGATTTTCGCCCGTAGACGTTCGTACCCGTTTGTGCAGCGCCGCGCGGCTCAAGACAGTGGGTCTTCGAGTCCTCAGGAGCAGCTGCGTGAGGCCGCCAGAGCACGACGCCGCCATGGTGCCCACGCGAGCTTGGTCCGCGCCGCCGCCGTTCGTCAACGAGCGAGGTCGAGGACGAGCGAGCGCACAGGACGACACACAAGCGCATCCCGTTGGATGCTCCTCAGAGCCCAACACATCGTATCCGTACCTTACATTCCACTGTACGGCTGGCGGACCGGTACTGTCGGACGGTAAGTTACGGTCCGTAACGGTAATAAGTAAGGGTGCTACCTATTGCCATACCCGGATCCTAGTAAGGGTACTATCTATTAGTGCTACTTCCTAACGGTAGTGAGCTAATTACTGTCAGACCTTAAGTTTCGGTCGGCACTGTCCGCCAGCTGTAATGGAGGACCTCCTGTGCTGTTCGTCTGCGCACGTGCCACCATCGCCCAGGTTGCCTCCTGGGTGTACAGTTAATTTGACGTAGCCCAGGCACTTTTTCCCCAGGTTGGTGATGACAGTGTGATTGGATTTAATGAATGTGGTGCGCTGACACTAGCGTTTCACGTGGTTGTAATCTTCCCTCTTGAGTGAGATGGGATCTACAGATCTTGACTGCCTTTGAAAGGGATTTGGATCTTTGCAGGGCTGGTCGCTTAAATTGTTTGCCTCCCGGCTTGTTGCTTGGGGGCGGTTGTGACGAGTTTTCAAACGCACCTGCCCACACTGCGTTCACAAATCTGTAGCCCGTCCCACTGTGTTGGAGTCGCTGAGGAACTCCAGTCTCAATCTCAGTCTCAGTCCCGGTCCAGTTTCAGTTTCAGCTGCAGTCGCTGTGCCGGTCAGCCCACCCACTGTCTCAGCCACAGCAGACCACAACAGACGCAGCGACTTGGCCACTGGGCTGCAACACGGGCGCATGGGGGCCACAAAATTGTGGGATGTCGAGGTACGGTAATTGGCTCCCGCAAGGTTTGATAACAGGAAATCTGGGCAGATTGACAATTGTCTCTCTTGCTGCGCTTAAGGTGGAAAATGGTGCTTGCGAATCGCAACAAAGATGTCTTATGCAGGTTTCCGATGCAACAAGTGCAGTGTATACAATTGAGTTGTGTGCCAAGCCGTGACCGCGCATTGAACTGCAAGACAACAGGAGACAACAAAGCCTGAGACCATGGCGCCAACGCTCATGTGGCATTAATGCACCAAATCCAGTATTGTGAAGCATTGCTGATGGCCTTCCTGGGTTTCGCAGCTCAACCGACACCGGCAAACACTATGATATGGCGTTCAGCTGCCTTTGACACCATTTCCCAAAGAAAAGGAACAAGATCTGCTCTAAGCTCAGAGGAAGTCCTCTGTTTGGGTTTTCCATGCGTGAAAACAACACTTGCAGCCCATGCTGGGTGGAGTAGCCCAATTTGCCCAAAATGCGCTAAACCGCTAATTACAGGTGATGATGACCGTCTCATACAAAACAATATCGCCATACGTAGCAGATTACACATCTATACATTGCGAAATGTTATTTGGGAACCGCAGCTTCATGTGCAACGGCGCACCGTGCCCACATGGCGCGTGTCTTGCACATAGCACCCTAGAGAATGGGCCCAAAGTCGTGAAGCACAATGGGTCGATCATCTGCTCCGTCAGTGCCATTTGGCTAGTCGATGACCTCGATGCAGATTCGTAAAGGGGTGGACATTGCCTACTCGCCCTCTGGTCCTCCCTTGCGCTGCTCGCTCTCTGCCGCCTCCCTGATCATCACATGTGGCAGGTTATTGGATGGCCAAAGCAAATGGTGGGCGCATTCCGCCCAGCGTGCCGGTGACTCAAGGTTTGCGACTATGAGGCAAATAACAAGTACACTATGCGACTACACAAGAACATTCCAGACAGCCAACAAACCTTCTTGGGGCGTTCACTGAGAATTTGCCATGACAAGCCAGTGTCCGATTACTTTTGTCACACTTACAGTATTTCGGCCACATCGTGGTGCCCGCATTCCTTTGCGTGCGCGGCCGGCCCTCTTCCACTCTGCGAAAAAACCGTTGAGCATGCTTCAGTTTCAGTCTTAAATACGCCTTTTCTTAAGGTCCAACGCAATGGGCATTCCAACTAGTTGTAGGCGGCGATTCGGGTCAACGGATGACAACCAGCGATAGCACGACTCGCAAAATTCCTTCCCTTTCGTCTGTGGATTTGAGCCCCAAGTTCGACGCTTGGGAGAGGTTTTCGCACAAATATGGAATGAGTTTGAGCTGTTTTGGTTCATGTCGATAGTGTGACAAACACTTCAAGAAGTTAGCTTATTAGCATCAATCTGCCGTTAAGCGTGACTAAGTGAAGCGAATGACACCAAAATATACCTCTGATTCTTGCACCAAATACACCAGACACAAAAGGTAAAGTGCCCAGACGGGAAGAAATGCATGGACCACATTAACCTATGTGCTCGTGGCTTTCGTTCGTGCACACTACAAGATGAGAGCTCATGCCCTCCGCTTGTCCCTGCTGCAGTGAACCCCCCGATGCAAAGAAACATGTGCGTAGAGTAAAGATACGACACAAATATCATACAGCTTGTGTGGCACAGCTCCACGTGCACTGTGACAGAACACTGAGCAAAACAACTGCCGGGCGTGCTCACAAGTGAATGATACCTCACCGTCAGTGTGGCCATCAAAATGCACTGAACCATCCAAAATCGCGCTGAGCCGAAATATATTGAAATCACCATCTCCAGCAGACCAACATCATGCACGGCGCCACGTGGCAAAGGCCAGCAACATGTGCGGCGCTGAGGCAAACCGGAGCACATTATTGGAACAGGGATGAGTATCGCCAACAGCCAAATTTGCAACTTCTTGCCCCTGTTGCTGAGCACGAAGATTGCTTGGCGCTTCTGTGCTCGGGTTACACTCCGTTGGCAGTCTTCTAACACTGTGCCCCGCAGCATTCCTGCCATATATTCGATATGTTGCAATACCGAGGTGGCATGTCTTGTGTGCTGTGCTGGCACCATGCATCTTAAAATGTCCAAAGGTTTAAATGTGCGCCTCAGGTGGAGGATGATTGAGCAGTTGAGGGGTTGAGAGGTTTAGGCCAAGGCGCAGAATATTGTGAAGCTGATTACATCGTTAGATGTCCTGATCTGCGTGGGCACCAGCCAGTACAACAAAGTCATTGGCATGCATGGTAATGAAAATATGCTTGAGATCATCTAAGGAAGATGCCAATAATTTTCTACTGCCACTAAACGACCAGTCGGCTCAACAGCAAACCCCCCAGAATGAGATGGAAATGGTCCCAGTATCCAACAGGACCGCTATCTCCTTTAACAAGGGTTGGCGGAGTTGGTGGGTGGTACCACACTTACCTCCACGCCGTTGGAGCTCGTGGTGGAGGAGCGGTATGCTGCCCGGGTTCGTGATTGCGGCCAGCCGATCCGGGCAGCCGAGGCTGCCGGCCAGTTTCGGATGGTGAATCGCCTTCATCACAAGAAAGATCAACCTTTTTGACATCCCTGTATCATGTTTTGGAATTCAGTCCACTTGCATTCTGAAAATGTACAGTGGTAGTGAGGAAACGACACGTTGGTGCTGAGCTGGCACTGCCAGCCGCCGGCTGGCCAGACTGGGCATTAATTTATGTGCATCTGGAATCGCTTCATGGATGTCTAAACGTCAGTTGGGGATGTTGGAATTGTGATGGCTGGTTTTGATCGGATCGAAAACGCAAAGACGGGTTCTCACAATAGGTTTTAAGGAGAATTCAATGGGCACAGAAGTACTGAGGTTTAGTTGCATTTATGCTGTGGCCTTGTATAGTGCATTGTGCTCCATTTGGCTTCTTTTTTGGCTCCAGTTTTGGAGGTAATGAATTTCAGCCCATGCCATTCGCAGAAGTCATGCACGGGCTGTCCCTCTTACATATTTTGTTTGGCAGAGCCTGAACAACAACGGCTTCCCCATGGGTGGTTCAATATTGAAATACCCGTTGAGAAGCGGTTGTTCTTGCTGCTTGCAAGCAGCTGTATTGTGCATTTCTTTCGCGCCATATGCCTGCGGGTGGGTGAGCATTGGCGATGTCCAGGCGACCAACCGCGGCTGCAGCATTTTTTGTGTAAAATTTGCTGAAATTTTCAAAATCAGAAAAAGGGTTACCAATCCATTCATTTTAGTTACCATTTCCTTAGATTCTTGGAACGAATGTGTATGTTTCCATCAAACGACATCTTCTTAATGCTTACTGGCCTGGGACGCCACATGAGTTGTTTTTAATTAATCCGAGCCATTTTCACCATGGCGATGGAAAAGTGGTACGTCTCTTGGCCATTAGATATTCAAACACACCGCATGTAAGTTTCAGTCAGCACCAAACCCTTGCTCAAGCGCCTTGCCCTCATTACGCAGCGGCAAGTCCGCTAGGGAAAGCCATTGCCTTTTGGTGCATTTTCGAAATGTGAAGAGCTCATTCCATGGTGTGTACAATTATGGCTGAAATGGACCATTTGCCCCTGTTTATCCACAGCACCATGTATGCGCTTGCAGGCAATCTCCCCCACTAACCGTATTGTGGATCATCTAGTAAGATTGGACTAATAAGGTTATTGAATATTCTTCACGCTATTGTTGTTAGAGCTCGTGGCCGTGGGCATTGCGTCGATTAAGGCGTTGATTCATATGCCGCTGTCATCGTTCTGGCTTTTTTTGCTAATAGCTGCAGCACAATGCACCAAAATGTGCTCAGACGTTCCGCGTTTTGCACATGCACTGGATCTCAATCAACGCGAACTTGGTTGTGGGGCGTTGTTCAGTTGCGTGCTGTACGTCCATATGCAACAGGGCCATCACGCTACCCAGAAGTTTGGCGTTGCTTGTTCTAAGCGCGTTTCATCATGAGCCTAATAGGTTCGTCGTGTTGCACAAGTCACAACACGCCATGTTACATAACATTGTGACGCTGTTCTCATCCTGCAGTCAGAAAGATTTCGAGCGAAATTTCATTTCTTTCCACATTTCTTCGCAATTGTCTTCTGTACTTTGGCTATTGGGCGCTTGCACCTCTGAAGCCCGCTCTGGCAAGGCCAGATGCTCAGATCCATCCCCAGCTGGAACCCCGAGCCGTGGACGCATGTATGACAGCGCTCGGTGTGCGACGGCCCTTGCATCCTTTCACGACCTCGAAACGGCACTCCCATGGACTCGGGGGACAAACGCCGCAAGGACGGCCACGGCTGGTGCCAGAAAGTGACAGAAACCCTGTCGCGTACAATGGCACGGTTCCCCGGAGCCGTGCCGGGTGACGCCGGCATGCGTCAGCAGGCTGGAGCGTCGCTCCGCGGCACTCTTGTCCCTCGCGCCCGTGTGAGCGGGCCTCTTGCACCTCCCGACCTCTCGGGACCAGGCAGAGACCCGCGCACCGAGCGCACGGAGCGCGCTGAGCGCACTCGCCGCACAGCCACCCACCGCCAGCCAGGTCGCCAGGATGCGCGGCTCCGCCGGCCTCCAGGCGAGCTTCATGGCTGGCCTCCAGGCGGCTGGTGACGACCCTGACGACCAGGGATCGCCCCCCGGCTCGCCACCAGTTCCGCAGCCCAGCGGCGACAGGAAGGCCGCTTGGTCGCCTCCTGGCTCGCCGACCCCGGCCAGGCAGGCCACCCCGGCGACTGCCGCTGTGAGTGTCATCGACTACAGCCAGCCGATCGACTTCAGCCGGTCGGGTCCCGGGGAGGGGTCCTCCAGCCAGCGTCCCCCGCCCGCCAAGTCGTCGGTCTTGGAGCTGAAGCCCGCATCAGAGGTGAGCCTGGGCGATAGGGAACGCGGAACAAATGGGCTGCGGATGTTCGACTTGGGGATGGATGTTTGCGCGGATGCCGTTTCGGGGTAGCCTGCCTCCGGGGCCCACCGCGCGGATGTTGTGGCTTGCCCCCTGATCGATCGATCGATCAGTCGCTGCACAGAGCCTTGGCGTCGTTCCAGAACGGAGCCCCGCCGTCGCGATTGAGATCTGGTGTGGTCCCCGACCTACCGCAGGCACATGGCGCGCTTTTGTCCATCCCAGAGGCGTCGCCTGACGACCAGAAGGGCAGCGGAGGCGGGAGCGACGGCCAGCCCACCCTTGCCGTGGCCGCCGCGGCCCACTCCCCCGCCAGGAAGCGCAAGGCCGACGGCCCCCGTCAACGGGGCTCGCCCAAGCCGCTGAAGCCGTCCTCCCCGGTGAAGAAGGGCGGGCCCAGCGGAGGCAGCCCGAAGCACAGGAGGGCCGATCGCGCCTACAAGAAGGCGGTTCGGCGGGCGCAGGGCGGCCCCATCCTGGGCGCCCAGCCGGCTCCTCCGCAGGGCTCCGCTGGTCTTCAGATTTCGGCTCCGCAGGTCCCGGCTCCACTGCCGCCTCCGAACCCCGCGCCTGCGGCGATCGGCACGGTGAGTTGGACAGAGGGTACAGGGGAATGGGCGGGGCAAGAAGCTCGCTTGGGGAGGCGTCGCGAGTGTGGTCCATTTTCGTGACGCCGCGTAGCAAAGTGCTGGCGATCGCGGTTTCCGGGCAGCGCGCGAATCGCTTTTCGCTGGCCCCCCTGGGCCCTGTAGCGGTCCTGACGCGTGGATTATTGTTCCATCCAACTTGCAGGTGCCCACCACTGGACAAGTCGCCCGCGCCCCCAAGGGTGGCAGCAGCTTCTGGGGCCGGGCCGTGGCTAGCCGCGCTGCGAGGGTCAGGTGCCATGGCGGGAAGATCGGCAAGCGCGGCAGCGGCGGCAGCGCTGCCCTGCGCGCCCCGCCCACTCACAAGGCGCGACAGAAGATGCAGGACAAGCACAAGAGGCGCGTGGGGACGGGAAGGGGCGTGGCCAGGAAGATCACGAAAAGCAGCGCTGAAGAGGTAATCGACGGCACCTACCAGCCCATCATGATCGCCTGAGCACCTCCCTTGGGAGAGACCGGATGTTCTTGGAGCAGGGCGGATCTGACCGGCCTTTCTCCGTTGCGGCTCCGTTGCGTGCAGATGGACTGGGAGCCGGTGGTCGAGTACGACGGCTGGGCTCCGGGCGTCACGTTCCGGGTGGAGAACGGCTTGTGGTACGCGGAGCTGCCCGGGCCGCGCCTCAACCACCCTGGGCCCGAGGACTTCTTCGACGTGATCATGCACGAGGCGAACGGCAAGCCAATCGTCCACTGCCAGGGCGTCGTCACAGGCAAGCCCGCGCTCTTTCCCGCCGGTGGCCTATCCTGTCCAACCGCATCAATGCTCCTGCGCCTCCTAAGCTTCTGCTCTTTCTGCCGTTCCCCTGTCGCACACCGCACCTCACGCTCACGCCGATGCTTTGTTGGCAGGCTACCTGTACGGCAGGCTGCCGTGGTGAGCCGGCCGCTGCCCGCGCCTCCAATGCACTGGCGGCTGGAGGCACCTCGGAGGCGCGGCGCAGGCGGGGCAGGGCGGGGCGATCTCAGGGCTGGCACTGCGGGCGCGGCACTGCACCAGGCGCGCCTGCGCCAGTGCACGCTGCTTCCAGGCCGGGAGCTACCGACGGGGGCGCCAGGGGCCCTCCGTGCCCTCCGTGCAATGCATGGGGGCGGCCACGGGCGGCTTCGGGCAGCGAACCTGGATGGGGATGTGGGAGGCGGGAAGGGGGGCTTCATCATGGGGGTTCGCGAATCGCGGTGCCCGCGAAGTGACGACTCGCGTCGTGGGCCGCAATGCATCGGGGCCATCACGGGGACGCCGGGGTAGCTGTAGACCTCTTTTCTTATTTTTTATTCTGTTTGTCATGAGGGCAGGCGGGTAGGCGGGCAGGCGGGCGTTGGATTGGGGGCCGCGTTGGAGCCAGGGGGTCCCGCGGGTGTGTGTGTGTGTGTGTGTGGAATTGGAGACGTCACTTGAAAGGGATGAAGGGTGCACCCATCGCTCCTGCTCGCCCTTGTTTCCCATACCGCACTGGGAAATATTCCATTTGGGGCAGAGCGGCGCGTGAGTTCGGCACCCGGAAGGCGGACATCTGCCCCTTGTCCGCAGCCTCCAAATGTTTGCGGATTCGGCAGCTTGTGTGTTGGTGGAAAATGCTGCCATCCGCCATAACGGCAACAGCACGGTGGAGGAGGGCAAGCAATTGAGGGGCTCCTCATCACGGCTGGGGCCCGCCTCGGGTGCATCATGGAAGATAGCATTAAACTTGGTAAGTTGCAGCGGGGGCACCTGGCAATTCCGCTCATATCCTACCTGTTTGTGCGCCATGGCGATGCGACGCCATTTGGCATCGGCAAATGAGAATGAGTTGTTTGGAGTTCCAGAGAACCTGCTATCAACTCACGGGCATGAACACATCATTCCACACAGACTGCACAGAAACTGACATTTGGCGGCAACATCAGTCCGACAATGGTCACCGCCATGCTGGCAAGAGCTGCGAGGTGCAAAGTCGCTTGGATGCATCCCGATGCAGATTAGCCCACTCTGATTAGACGTTCCATTGCAGTTTTGCAAAGAGCGATATTTGGACGTGCACTTGCACGCGAATAATGTCATGGGACGTGATCCGTATTTATACGAGCAAATCACGAGTGGCAAGTGTTTCTGGCATGGACGCACACTTCACGGGCGCCACAGACGCCATCCTATTTGAGTCTCCAACGGCGTCGTCCCTCATCCGCTGTTGCCTGTAGTTCTGCCAGGTTTGAGTTTCCTTTCGACAACGGCGTTGTATAGCTGCTCAATACCGCGAAGCACAAAGAGAGGTAAGGCAAAATCCTGTGCCTGTGCCTTCAATGCAATTGCTGTTTTGACCAATGTCCGATAAAACTTAGGCGACCCACTAGATGACCCTCATGCCACGGCACAATGCCATCCCTGACTCAATGACCCAACAGCAAAGTAGACAATCCTCACCCCACATGCCCACATGTGCCCAGGCCAGGCGAGGGCAAGCAAGATCTGGAAATCATCCTCGGGAGAGAAGGCACGGTCATATCTGACCGGCATTGGCTTCAAGACAAAGAAGTGGGGTGACAATTGTTGGTGGTCCGAACAGCCCCAGACTGGACAGCGCCGAGCCTTGGTACATCTCCGAGTACCTGATGTAGTGCATCGACTAGGTGAGTCACACCACAAGCCATACTTCATCTGCGTCACATATTTGACTGAAATGCTTGTGGACAGGCATGGACAGGCTCGTTATTTATGCTTACGTTTACGTTTACGATTTTGTGTAAAATGTAAATTTGCAAAAGGGACTATTTTCTACGGCCGTATTTACGTTCCTACGGCTCGTTGTGACACAGAGGTAATACACAAAAGTAGCGCACAATGATCAGTCCTCTACCCCTCGAGCATCTGCAACACAGCGTCGACTTTGCAATCGGTAAGGGCCACGACGGCGTGGAACAAAAGTTCGTTTCCTGCCCATTATACCTCGTCTGGCTGCTTCTCCCCAGACACCCGAAGACTGTGTGTACTGTCCTTATATAAAAGGGGCTGTACTCACGTTGTGTTTACGTATTTTTACGTATTTTTACGCGATTTTATGCGTGTAAACTTAAAAACTATTTTTGCATATAAAAAGGTAACACGATCTGTGTTTACGACATAAGTAACAAGCCTGTCTGTCCAGCGTCAGGTGGCTTATAAGCTTCGTGATCTGACACAGGACCGGGCGTCGATGTTCATGGCTCCTCTGGTCAGCAAAGCTTCAGGCGTCACTTCAGCCATCGACAATCTTCTGCCTGCCCGGGGGGTCTCGCAGCCAAAGCCGCGGGCCTCCCCCTCGAGGAGGGGATTTGGGGCGCAGCCCCAATCCCCGCACTTTGCACCGTCGATCGAGACGTGGAGTTTCCAGTGGACTCGACACAGGCTCTCGGCAGTGGCCTTGGGGTGGCATCCTTTCCACGTTGGGAAGGGCCAGGGCGGGCATGCTCGGATTGGGTGGACGGCCAAGAGCGCTGCCGACAGTCTGCGTCTGGCGCGCATGGCCGTCCGAATGGGGGCGGAGTTCCTATGGGAGCAATGATGCCATCACAATTTATTGCTGGCTTCCAGGGGGGGTGAGCGCGTTGGAGACGACCTCCGCCGAAGCTCAGTGTCCACAAAGGAGGTGTTATTCTGTCTGGCCGCAAGATTTGGACATCATCCTCGGGAGAGCAGTTTGCTCATATCTGACTAAAATCGGCTTTATGCCGAGGCGGGACGACCAATTCTCCCTTCGAAACAGGCTGGACGGCGCCAAGCCATCGGACTTTTCATACACCTGATGTGGCGAATCTATCAGGCGAGTCATCGACAAGCGATACATTTGTGTGCAATATGTAATTGCTGAAAATTGTCTGTGGAGAGCCGTATTACGCGCGAACCAAAGTGTCAGAGAGATATGTGGCGTTGTTCGCGTTTCTCAGGCGTTCATGGAAAATTTACGAGACAGGGAGCAGCAGCACGCAATGTAGCAGAGACCCTAGTGTTCCGATGCAACATGCATGGATGTCCATTCCACTTCAGGTGGCTGAAAACCTTTGTGAACTTGCAGAGAACGCGCACCTCACACCACGACGGGGATGGATCAGACGTCGATGTTCACGAGTCATCTGGTCGGCGAGTCCAGCAGCCAGCACCTAGAGCCAGCCAACCACCAGTCCAAGGAGCACACGCACTGCTACGCCGTGTGCGAATTGATGCAGTACACGATGCTGCACCTTTTGGTTCCTGCCAGGAGCTCGGCCATCTTCAAAAGCACGTCAGTGAGGATGAGATGGGTGCAGTAATTCTTCAGACGTCGTCTCGTTGACGTACACTCTTCTGCCTGCCCGGGGGATCTCGCAGCCAAAGCCGCGGGCCTCCCCTCAAGGAGGGGAATTGGGGCGCAGCCCCAATCCCCGCACTTTGCACCGTCGATCGAGACGTGGCGT